ATTAACATCTTACATACACACAAAAAGGGTATTTTACAGCAGATGGGTACTCGAGTGGGTGGGGTTTCAGACAGATTCAAAAGTTGAGTAGAGCCATTTCCATGAAAATGACTTTTTGGCACAGCAGATTTGGTACCAAGACTAACACACCTAAAAGAAACCGTGCACATAAAAAAAGGGTAGCCAAAAATGAATAATTTCCATCATAAATAAAAAGAATATTAGAAACAATGTAAATCATGAAGTCCAACATAAACTTTTGATTGAGGCAAAGCTAGTTGTGAACAACATATTTGTCTCCATATATTCTCTTTATGGACTCAGGAGAGATTATTTTGAAAAATTCTAAATACAAGCAGAAATTTCTGATTCTATTTCATATTTTCAAACAATTACCAACAGGCTAAATGTTAAATTGGTGATAATAACAATCAACATGTTTATAGCATAATTACAAGTTTAAAAACAAAGTTTCAACTTTAATATTGAGTTCATATCTTCCAATTGTCTGTGGATTTATAATTTTTTTGTATTTTTCTTTATTGTTTGCTTAATCTGTTTTTGAACTTGAATAGATTTCAATTCAAATGATAAAAAACTCATTTGAACATAATTGAGGCTTGAAAATATATATATATATATATATATATAAACTAGGTGTGTGTGTGCATACAAGAGTTATTTCATTGAAAATCACAGCAAATGATGGCAAAACTAATATTTTCAAATGATAAAATGTTCCATTTGAAGGAAAAGAGGCTAACAAGGATAAAAAAATTAAATTTACTTCATTTTTGCATTTCATAAAACTTGCTCTGTTGGATCAACCGAGTAAGTTTTATGAATTGAGGAAATCAAGCCATTTTGCATAAATGCATTTGTATAAAGGTAAAAGACAATAGGAAAACTGTATTATTAGCCGACACATTTTGTCCAATGTGGACTTTTTCAAGGTAAAAACGAAATGAATTTATTAAAAACAAGGTATTAAGAACAAAACAAAATGTACTTAGCAACTGGAAGAATTTAGAGAAACACTATTGTATTTATATTGTCAACTGAAAATTACGTCAAATACTATCACATATGGAAATATTGTTTTTATTGTGTTGACTGATTCAACCATCTTTTGATTTCTTGATACAGTTCTGTACATTTGCTTGGGAGAATAATAATTTTGTTAGGAAAGGTGATATTAGGAAAAAGCCTGGGCATTGATATTTGGGTAATATTCAATGGTGGCACTCTTGATGATTTTCCTTCTGAGTGAGTTATTTTTTTTTTATGAGTGTAGCATTTTAAAAATCAAATTACTACTCTCCCAAGCAAACATACAGAACTGTATCAAGAAACCAAAAGAAAATGGTTGAATCCATCAACACAACATAAAAACAATATTTCCACACGTGACAGTACTTGACATAATTTTCAGTTGACAATGTGAATACAATAGTGTTTCTCTAACTTCTAGTTACTAAGGACATTTTGTTGTTAATACTTACTTTGTCTTTAATAAATTCATTTTGTTTTTGCCTTGAAAAGTCCAAATTGGATGAAATATGTCAGCTAATAATACAGTTTTCCTATTGTCTTTTACCTTTATACATATTATCTTTTTCTACAGGCTAACTCCGAGAAATTTTTCATAAATGCATTTGTGAACTGGATAGTTTGACTAAGAGGTTGCAGGAAAGCTAAAAGAAAGTAATTCCAAAATATGAGTTAATGACATAAATGTTTTTAAAAAGAAAAATCAATACAATGCATAGTTATATTGAAGTAAGAGGGTGTAGATGAATCAAGGCATTTCTCATCATAGGATTAAAAAACTTAATTATTACATATTAAAAACAACATTGACATTCTATGATTAATAGAATTATTATTAACAGGACATTTTATGAGCAATGCAACAAAAAAAAAATGCAAGTCACTGTTTAAAAATCCTAAAATAAAAGGATTCTACATTAAAATAAAATTAAAACCTTAAAATAGTTTATGTGCTTTAAATTAACACCTGAAATGTATAATTTTTTTTCAATATCTTATTCTGTAAATCAAAAAAAAATATAGAAATTCAAACTGAATAATCATTCTTCAATGTTTAAATTCTATTTAAAAAAATAAGACAAACAAAAAACAATGTGATAAAGGATAAGCAAATCCTTTGTTAAAAACTAAGATTTTGTTTTAATCTAATGCTATATTGCTTTATAAATCAGAAAATGCAAATATAGTTTCTTGATTGTTAGTGCATTTTTCAAGTAATTTGATTTTATAAGCCTGTTGAGGTCTTAACAGATAATCAATAAAGAATTCCCCTTGCTCAGTGAGCAACACAATGCTTCATTGTTGATTTAATTGAACATAGTTGGTGGGATAGAATTAAATTGAAATTGTATAAAGAACAAAGTTTATGTAAATTTGTGAGAGGCAAATTAGTTTTATTACTCCAGATAGAAAGCACCTCAAGATTGCATTTCAAAATTAGCTTGAGTTGATTTAATATTGCATAGACAAAAAATTGGCAAACATAAATAAAATTAATAAGATAACATACAGAGAGTTTATGACTTCAATTTGGGTTTTTATAAGTAGTTATTTGAAATAAACCAAGAAAAATTATTAATATCTACATGTACATTTGTCTATACAATTTTACTTCTCAATTCCATGTAAAGACTGAAAAAATATGTAAAAATAATAAATGCTACAAACAAATTTCAAAGTAACAATCACAAAAATTGTTCGTCCATGCTGAGATAAGTTAGATAAAAACATTGTTTCATGAAACTCTGTTAACATCACACTTGACAATATTTTAGATAAGAAAACCAAAGTATATTATTCAAATAATATAGCTTGCTTATCAAGTTAAAAAGCTAAATTTATTCCTGTCATATTGAAAATCTTTTTAAAACTTTCACTCATGTTTTATTATGTCTTCTTCTCTATATATATATATATATATATATATATATATATATATATATATATATATATATATATATATATATATATATATATGTGTGTGTGTGTGTGTGTGTGTGTGTATGCTACAGTTCACATTGATTAGAAAAAAAAATTGCTTCTTAGGACAAATTGTGCAAAAACAGAATCAGACACATATAATAACAATAAACTTTATTTGTTTACAATTTCTTAATGCATGACTTATAAGGACACTAGATAATGTTGAGATAATTTACTGTATTAAACAACATAGTAATTATATTTGTTTCAGTTTAATGCCATTCTTTCTTTGAATATCCTACCAATATAGGAAGAGCCCGTAAACTGTTGCCAATAGATAAAATTAAAAGCTAAACTATCACTTATCAGAATCTCTGCCATAATTGCTCATTTAATGAAAATGATTTGTAAACAGAACTTCATATATCGTAATATACATGTAAACTTTAAAAATGAACAGACACAGAAGGATTTGATTTGATTTTGTTTAACGGCATATCAACCCTGATGCGTCACACAAAGTTGCTAATGCAAACAAATGTCTGACCATTGACAAAACTCTGCAGTGTTATTCTGAATATGAAGAGGAAAAAAACATTGTTTAACAAGTAATAAAGAAATCAAGCAGAACAAAATAAAAAAGGCATCAATGAAATCTCCAATGATGATGACATGCTTAATCCTGAATGTTTAATTTATAGAATTGAAAAGAAATGTCATAGTAAGAAACTGTAGTGAATATTTATTATTACCATGGGTCAAATCCATCAATAAATGAAAAATGCTGGTCTCTTTAAAAAGCAATAGCCACATATAGAGACTAAAATCTGTGATTCAGTGTGTTTCACCCAAGGGGAATCTACTGTACATATAAATCCAAATTCTTTTAAGTAATGTTTTTAATCTTTTTAGTAATGTTTGGAGTTTTCAAGTCATCTTATTGAAAAAGATGTGCAATGGAAGACTAGGAAACCCTCAGAGCAAAACTTGATATTATATATATTCACTCAAGCACCAACCAATTCCAAAGACCTGTGATAAAAGTTTAAAACTCGTCAAAAAGGAAACAAAAAAAAAGGTGAAAACTGAAACTTATTCAATTTGGTATTCTTCAAGATATTAGCAATTTATCACCTTTATAAAGACACTTGAGTGACATTTTTATTTTTGAGGTGAATGAATAGATTTTGTTTGGCTTGAGTAGTAAAATAAACAAGTAAAAATTATTTATATATCAAAGCTTCTGTTCAGCAGATTAGGTAAAAAGATTTCTTGCAAAGAATTTGCTTAATTTAATTCTATCAAACTGTATTCCCAAATCACCCAGTAGCGGTTCTGCAAGACAGTAGAGTTTACCGAACATCCAGCCATCAAAAGTAATCTAAAAATTCTTCCAAAATTGTATTTTCAATAATCATATAAATCTGAAACAAACAAACAAACAAACAAAAAAAAAAAAAAAAAAAAGACATTATAAAAAATTGTTTTAGATGAATGAAAAGATGAATTGTATCAAAAATAAACAAACTAGTTTCACTAGGACAAAAAAAAAAAAAAAAACAACTTCTATTTTTCCCTTTTGCAAAGCAAATTAATTTCTTTCATTTTTTAATGGGTTCCTTGATTATCTTATTTTTGTGAATGTGAAACATTCTTAATAATTTGAAATTGAGAAAAATCTCATATTAGGAATGGACAGGATTGTACATTTGATTTTTTTTATTTTATAAAATGTATAAAAAGAAAAAATATCCCAATTTGTCTCTTCGCAGCACTTTGACAAAAAATGCCCCCAAAAGCTCAAATCAGACTGGAAACAAAAATGTTTGTCTTCAAGTGTGCCAGCAAAATGAAAGAGTTTAGTGAGAAGTGGTAGGAATTAATGTTCTGCAAGAGAAAAACTGTTAGGTGGGGATAAATGAGAGAGGAGACAAAGGCAGGTGATTATTCACTGCTGTCACATCAATTTAAAAAAAAAAAAAAAAAGTGGAAGTTGGATTGATCACAGATGATTTTCATTAAATAAGTCAAACATTCTGGTTGGCTGCCATTGGAACTGTGGCTGAGTGTAGAAGGCCAAAGCGTTGTTTTTGCTTTCTTTGTTCTGTCATCTAATAATAAACAAAAAAAATACAATAGTTCTTCAATTTTTATTTTCAAAAGGCAATTATCTTTTTGAAAGAAGTCATTAAAATGTCTTTAGAATGGCCAATTTATGCTTTTTATAAATTATGACATTTGATGTACTTTCATCAACAGATACAAGAGAGACATCTTTAATAATCTACACATCACCTACAAAGGTGCTATTTTTGTTACTTTATACTATTTTCTTATTTATGAAAAATGACAATGAAGATGGATGAGATTAGTTTAGATGATCCAGCATTGAATTTATTCTACTGTTAATCAATCTGTTAGCCTATCTCTAGCTTATTAAAATAGCATGAAAGATTGCAAACAAAAAAATATCTGATACTTTAAAATTGTCATAAACAAGTAGTTTTGTCATAATAATCAGATTTAAATTTTTATAAAAATATTCAGACACTTACTTGTTCTTTAAGTTCTAGAAGTTGCTGAGAAAGTGTTAAAACCAATTTATTGGTGTTATCAAGTTGTTGCTGTAGGTTGCGCAATTCATTCTGTTCACCATCACTTTCCTCTGCAGTTAGAGACATGGCTCGCATCCGAGGAAACCAATCCAAGTTTTTGTCCTGGAAGAAACAAGATCTCTTTTTAAGCAAAAATTATTATGTTGAAATTTGTATGAAATAAATACCATTGTCATTATTTATTTGGAATTCATTTGAGAGAAATCTTTTTCTTTCTCATGTGACCCTTAAAAATGCCTGTGCCTTTATTGAATCTATTAGATTCTTATTTGTGAAAATGATATTTTACAATGAAAAGTAAGAAAGCTAGTCAACATACGAGACTTCTTACAACTCTTACTCACTTGGCTCTGAACAAAAGCCAACAAATTATTACTATTTATTATAGTGCAAATTATCTAATACTGAATCCTCACAAAGCATGTGAACTTGATGGTATCCATGTAATAGACCATAAGAAATATGCTCCTGAACTGTCTCTTGTTCTTTCTAAACTTTACAATAAATGCCTTGCTTCTTGCTTTCCTGCTTGTTGGAAATCTTCCTTTGTAGTTCACTCAGGTGAACAGTCTGATACTTTTTGACAACGTACTAGAGGCTCTAATTAACTCACACTACAGGGTCTTCATAAGCCATATGACTTTTGTTTCTTTACATCAACTACTAATGTTTTAACAATTATTGCCAAAAGTCTATCAAGCTTTAGATAAAAATGGTGAAGCTTGAGCTGTTGATTTGGATATCTCAAAGGCATTTGACAGCGTTTGGCATACTGGTCTTTTCTACAGGTTGAAAGGTTATGGTAATTCTGGATGAATTTTTGAACTGATTCAGCCTTTATCAAATTGCAAAATGAAAGTTATGATTAAAAGAAAAAATTGTCTGACAGTTGAAGAAGTGATTCAACTATTAACGATCATCAACAATATTATTTTAGAAAATGAGTTCCCTATGATTACAAATCAAGAACATCTGTTCCACTTTGAACTCTTGAATGCATTTTGGGACAAATTTGTGACTAATAACAGTAAACTGATGCAAAGAAAGGCTCAGTGGAAGCAAATTTTCTAAAGCACAGCCTAAAAGAGACATTCATCCCAGGAAAGTTTTGGTAAGTCTTTGGTGGGATTGTGATGGCACAGTCCACTAAGTAACCTTTCTATGTTATAATTATAGTAGATATCTATTTTCAATAGATAAAGCCTTTAAACATTGATATGAAGTAAAATAGGCATATTTTGATCACTTTTAAATTTGTGATGTTCCATCATGGTAATGCAAGACACCATTCAACAAAAATTACACCTAAAAAATTTTTAAAACCTCTTTACTATCCCCATCTGATTATCACCTACTTTTGAGTTTACAGAACCACCTTAACAGATTAGTTCTTAAAAAACACAAACAAATGAAAAACTATACTTTTTATGTTCTTTTCTTTCAAACCAAATGACTGTTCCAAAAACAGTATTATGTGCCTTGTGAATCACTGGAAGGAATTTATTAAGAAGGCTGCAGCCTATGTTAATGACTTTTAACCCTATTCTAGGAATGATTGGGGGAGTGGGGGTTGCTCACCCACAACTTTCAATTGATAGTGCTCTTTTTGTGATTGAAGTATTTATTTGAAACTCCAGATATGCTACTAAAAATAGTCTTGTCAAAAAAATCTTGTTTGGTTGTTCTAAAACTAATTGTGAATATAGTAAATACCCCTTTTGTTACATAATTGCTGATATGGGGTTTTTGTTACTTTATTGCCTTCCGATACAAGTACTTCAGTAGAACAATAGTAATATACAAGTACTTCAGTAGAACAATAGTAATATACAAGTAATTCAGTAGACAAATTTCAAAGTGCATTCAGCATGAATTTTTTGCATTGTAAATTAAGCTACAGCATTCAAGCATTTGGTTTATTTACTTTTCAAACTCTCACCTTTGAGGACATCACTAGTTCCAGACCCTATGAAAATTTAGAATAAAAAAATAGAAGAATAATCCTGCAAAGTTGCAAACAATTTAAGCCATTATTTGGAGCTTTATAGCAATTTAAAATCTCCTCCTATACTTGCCTTTCCCAACTGCAAAACAACTTGCCTGGTCAAGTAAATATTAATGTTTGATATTTCTTCTGACCCTAAATTAAGACATTACTTATATGATGACCCAATAAAACTTACATTGTATAATTGAAATTGAAGTATAAATATTATAAAGTATTCTTACTTTGACCATTGCATAGACATAACTTTCAGGTCCAGTGAATTCTGTCGGATCTTTCACTTTTACCAAAACAATGAAGAAAAGGTAATGCCACATGCAGTGTTCAGACTTAAGATGTTCTTCAAAAGATACAGCTTTGTTATCAAAAGATGATCGATCCAAACCTGAAGATATATATAAATTAATAGATAAGCAGATTGCTAATACTAGTTTTGCAAGGTGTGTGTATGTGTATCATTAAAAATGCTTGAAGCAAACATAAATGCATTCTAATAAAGATAAATTAAATTGTTCACTTGTAACATTTAAAATTATTTATATTTGTTGCAATTAACCCAATAATGTTTTTATTTTTATACTAACAAGAAAAATACTTACCACAAATAAAACAAGTGTTTTTTAATATCTCTTCTTTTTGCTGTTTCTCACTTCTCAAATCAGCAAAAGTGTCAATGATGACACCAAAGATGAGATTTAATACAATAATAATAACAATAAAGAAAAACAAGAGATCATAGATGACACGAGCCACAAACAGGGGTTCCTGGAAAAAAAAAAAAAAAAAAAAGTAACGAATAGCAATGTTTCAATATTTTGTTTATAAAATCATGCACAAGTTTTATAAATAGAATATTTTATGATTTTTCAAAAAAGATATTTTATTCTCAGAACCAGTGCTAAAATAATTATCAAATTAAACCTTAAAAGAAAAAAATAATTTCTATGTAGTCCTGGAAATACTGTCTCCAATGTATTTAAATATTGATGTTTAAATTAATGTTGAGAGATAAAAAAAAAAAGATTTTTAAAAATATATAAATAAAATTTGAAAATTTTTCTTGGTTTAAGCAAAATAGCAGATAACAAAAGAGAAAATATTATTGCTTCCTAACTCAAATAATGAGTGCATCTGTTAATAGAATATCCACCAGGAAATGTGCTGTTTGGTTAATATCCTCCATTATGAAATTCCCATCCAAGCTCTCCTGATCATTTATTGGCTTAGATTTACAACAAGAGAATCAATGTAATAAAACTTCCTTTCCTAGAATAAAATTCATGTACAAACCATTTACATACTGTCACAATAAGTAGTAGGGTCAAATAACTAGTGGTGGTGTAGAGGAATAAATTTCTTACAAATTCTTAGTTTGATGGGAGATCAAAATAAGTTGACACTGAAACCTAATAAAAAATTTAGTTTTTAAATGTACCTTACTGCTGGGTTTTCGTAAAACATCTCCAATACCACCTCCATTCCGAAGACCTTGGTTCAGAGAAGTCACAATACACATAATTAAAGAATCACATGCTCGCTGCCTTTCTTCTGTATCATCTTTACTTTCAACTGAAATAAAAAAAGATTAAAGACTGAAAAATACACAAATACTCAATGGACATACACTCAAGGCAATTCATGTTAATCTACTCATCAGTATCAAATTTTTCTCAAATGAATATGAAGTTTCTAATTTAAACAAACAAAACCAAAATGTTTGCTTTATATTTTTTGTTGGATGTCATTAGAAATTTAATGTTTACTTTTAACTACATACCAAAAAAATCACTTATTAGATTGAGATGATCTCAATCTAATAAGTGATTTTTTTATAGGCCACGGTCGATTTTCGTTTCATTCCATGGACATAAAATTTATATGAAAAATTTTTTACTTGATTTCGGGAGTTTCGATGCCGTAGAGTCTAAATCTAAAAAGTTCTCCAGATGAGAATTGTGCATTTTTTCATAAATTGCATTTTAAATTGAATATTTTATCGGTAAATCTGAGCATAAAAATCAAGTAAGGGAGGTAATAATTGAGTAAATATGACGTTTCTTAGGCTAGTAGTTATCTCCCTTAAATTCAAAAATTTTAAAATACGGCGAAAATGAATTCCCCGAATATTTGTGCAATACATTTTGAGTCAATTAATAATACGAATGAAAAAATTATTTCTTTTACTGAAATAACTCTTAAAAAAATTTGTGAATATGCAAATAAATGGAGCAACTTTGTCTGTCAACAAGGTAATGTTGCTCGTATGTTTAAACGTTTTTCAACTTTTAAAAACATTGGCGAAGAGAACAATCAAAGATTCGAAATGCACAAACATGCTATAGTCGATTCACAGACATCGCAAGGTAAGATTTTTTTTCTAATAAATAAATATACAGCATATACAACTATATTTTTCTATTTTTTCTGTCACAAAATCGTCTGTTGTGTCAATATATTTAACTGTGAATAGAGGTATGTGTATGTGTGCGCGTGTCCCTGCGTGTATGCGTGTTTTTTTACTGTATTTTTTATTCTTACATTAATTAATTAGTTTAAGCATAATTAATAAATTTTTTTTGAATAAACTCTAATGGCCACGAGTTTTGCATTTGTTTTAAAATAATTCTATGTAGAAATAAATGGCATTTAAAATTTCCTTAGCTATTACTGTAAAAAAATAGATTATTGTAATAGTATTACAATAATCTATTTTTTTTACATCTAGAATATTTTTACAGCATTTTTTATGATTTAAATAAAGATTGTCAATGCTAGCTATGCTGGTGTGTTACAGGTTGGAAAAATTTGAGAAACGCAACATTACAGAAATGAATTTAATATTCACTGACACTGCACCATCAACCAGTAATGAAGAGCTTGAATCCAGTCAGAAAAGGTTGAGGAGCAGTAGTAATTTTAGTCAATCCACTTTTGGTAAAGATGATCAAACTACTGGCTGTTCCCTGTTTTTCCCAGCCAAATGTTTGCAAAAAGACAAAGATAAAAGAAACAAAAATTGACGGAAGGCTTAATTGGGAACCCTTGCAACAATGTGAAGTCATTGTAAATGAAATTTTATTTGCTGCAAAGCTGAAACATGATGAAGATCTTCTTTGTCAGTTACAGGATAAAGATCTTGTAGCTGCAGAGTTAAAATATCATCATACTTGTAAAATTAATTATACTAATTTCTTGAGATACAAAAAAAAAAGGAGATCAGTAGACATGAACAATGAAACAAAACAGTGCTGCATATGATATTTTCAAGAAAGATATTATAATGAAAAAAATCATTAAAGGAAATCAGGTCTTACGAATGTCCAAACTGTCTGAACTGTACAGAAACATCCTTAAATCAGTAGAAGGGACATCTATAGCGGCTAAAACTCAACATCTGAAGCAGCAGATTTTACATGATTTTCCACAGCTCACTTTCTTAAAACCAAGACAGAGGAATCAGAGTGAGGTGGTGTGAAAAAATAGTTTTTCCTGACCTAATAGGGAACAAGTGAAACGGATGATTCAGCAGATGACTCAGATGGTGATGATGATAATGATGATGATGATGATGATGAAGGAACCCAAGAACATGAAGCAACAGGTAAATATAATAAGACCTAAAATAATAATGTAAACTCTTTAACATTAGTTTTACTTCTAATCATTGATTAATTTGTACCTAATATTAAATGATCTAATTGTGTGATGTTATCTGAATAGACCTTACTACCAAATGTTACCAGTGGAAAATATTTATATCACACTCATATATAAATTTTAGAACACAAAAATATTTAATAGTAATGAAGTATTTTTATTTCTGAATATTTGAAAAAAGTTATTTAGTGATTTCTTTTTTACATTTTGTTTCAGATGGCGATGAAAACAATAGGTACAATTTGTATCATGCTAGCATGTATTTAAGAAATCAGATTATTTCTGTGGAATCACCAACATCTTGGCCTCCTAAGAGCAATAGTGTAACTACAGAATGTGCTATGAAGATAATTCCTGTAGAACTTTTAATGCATTGGCATTGATGTGTGGTCTTTTCTGATGACGTTGAAATGAAGAATAGATTTATTACTGTGTCTGAGAAAGATAAGAGAAAGCTACTTGCCATAGCACAAGATATTCTAAACCTTTCTCCCAGAGGAAATTTGTTTTACCAAAGCATTATGCACTGGGAATGGCTGTTCGACACTGGACTGGTCAGTCAAAACTTATAGGCATTTTAAATGGGTTTTGGGCACTCTATAAGCCACAGCACAACTCTAGAACTGGATACAGCCTTGGCTGAACAACAACTATCAAAAGTAACATTCCAGAGGGTTTTAAAAAGAAAACTTTTACACATTTAGCCTGGGATAATAATGACTTTGGAGAAGAAACTCTGAGTGGTAAGGGAACAACCCATAATACAAATGGGATCATAGTGCAGCAGCTAACTTCTGATCACTTATCACATATTGAAGATGTCACCAATAGAAAAAGACCAGCCCCAAAATGATCAGGGTAAGAATCGCAGTGTGATGCTAAATGAAGCACCCATACCAGAATATTATGTGGCAAAAGAGTAGGCCCTTTCCTACCTTCAGTTTCAATTGACAGCATTCAAAATGCTTTATTTAAATCATTTTGTGAGACCAAAACAAGCATTACTGATTTGGCTATGACCAGGATCAATATGCACTGTGAAAGTGACAACCAAAACACTACTCCAATTCCAGGTTGGACAGGTTTCAATATTCTTTTATTACAGGACCAAATACCACAAAAAGCAATATTGGATATTTGCCTGTGGTCAATGGTAACCTAACTCAACTAAGTACCGTGAATGCAGTATTTTGAAAAGTCTTGTCTTGCTGATGAGCTTGAAACTGAATGTATTGTATTAACATTTGATCTTGCATTTTATGCTAAAGCACAGCAAGTACGTTGGAATGATGCCATGTATATGCAAAAACAGTTGTCAGACTTGGTGAGTTCCACACCTGCATGTCGTTTCCCAGTGTCATTGGAAAGCGCTTTGAAGATTCAGGGCTAGCTGATGTCCTACTTGAAGCTGGAACAGTGACACAAGGATCACTACCTGGAGTCATGAAAGGCAGGCACTATAATCGAAGTGTCAGAGTCATAAAAATTATGTCTGTAGCCTTAAGGAGGAAACTCCTATCTACTTTTATTGAAACACAAAGTGAAGAAGAAAAAGCTAAATTCATTGCATTGTCTAAAAATTTATATTATGCTTTTCCCAAAACACAATTCCAAGAACTCTGCACATCAAATGATTTTAAAGAGTTTGAAAGCAAACTATTCTTATTTATTCAAGAGAGATGCAGCCAATTTCCAACTTTTGCATTTTGGATGAGTTACTTGAATATGGCAGATTTGTTTTTAAATTTTATTCGTGCTACACGAACAGGAGATTGGGCTCTTCACCTTAAGTCAGCAGCAGAAATGGTACCTTGGTATTTTGCATATGACCATTTGAACTATGCTAGATATCTTCCTGTTTATATCAATGAGATGCTTGCTGTTCCAGATACCCACCCTGCAATAGTAAAGCATCTTGCTGCTGGGGATTTTGTAGTTCAGCAACAAAACCAGTACCCCTTTAGTCAGACGGCAATTGAACAGACAATGAATAGAGATAGCAAGACCAGAGGTGGACAGATTGGATTCTCAAATAATGACAATGCTGTTCATCGTTGGATTTTATCTTTTAATCAACGTAATCAAATCTCTAAAAACTGTACTGAAATGGTTGGAAAAGGAGAGGGCTGCCATAATAAAAAAGACCTGAGTAGTTCTTGATATCAAAAGGATGAAGCAGATATGCAGAGTGTCATGCAGACAATTGAGTCTATGCAAAATCCATTTGCATATTGTGAAAAGAATTAATTAACATTGAATCTGGCCAAGTAGCATCTTCTGAAATTAAAGATGACATTTTGACAGCACATGAACAAGGCTGTAATATTTCTAATCAGTTTGTTCAACAACGACTAATTTTGAAAAATGTGGAGTTGAATGCACCATTAAAATCAATGAAGATAAAAACTTTTAGTGATCTTCAGAAAAAGCATTCACAACAAAAGAGCAAGAAGGAAGCAGATTGCTTGAAAGCAGATAAAGACCGTCTCACTAGGCTTCTTATAGTAGCAAGAACCCGAAAAGTTGACCTGGAAAAAATTTTTTCACATTGCCTTTCAGAGTTCCCATCTCGCCTAAGTAACATTGATGGTTCTTTGCAGCGTACCAACAAAGCTGCATTATTTCATTATTTTCTTGTAAAGTTTCCTGATATGAAAATTAACAATATTCCAAAAAATTCAGCACTGATATTAGATGGAATGGCAGTAATACAACAGCTTACAGACCATGTTCCATCAAGGTTTGGTGAGCTAAGTATTTACGTTTTTAGATATGTAATCAAGCTTGCTTCTACTTATATGTCATCAAGAGTTGACTTTGTCTGTGATAAGTACAATCCATGGAGTATTAAAGACTCTGAAAGAAGACGCCGTTTGATTACCCCATGCCACCTGTTACATGCTCTGAATGAA